CCCAGCGGCATCCGGCGTGTCCCACTGCTACCCCACTGTTACTCACTGCCACCCACCAGCCAACAGCGGCAGCCACTGGAGACTAACACTGACCTTCACTGGATACCAGTGGGTACCGGTGAGTGTGCCTAATATTCGGTGAAATTCGGTGTAGTTGCCAGTCCCGGGCATATTACTGGCAGGTTTCACAGTTCAAACACCTATCACTACGGGCATGAGCTAATTTTAGATCACCTGAAATGTCCTAGTCAAGCCATCAAAACTGTTTCATTTTCGAAGGCTTAACCGGGGCTTTCTGGTGTCCCAAAATGATAGATTTGCTACCACTTTTGTAGCCATTTGCGGTGCAGGAAAATGATAAATTTTGTGTAGCCTGAAATGAACCTGAAATGACTCAATATGGCTACATTTCAGTACAGCAAAGAGTTCATGTTTCAGGAGACTTTGTGGCGCATTTCAGGACATTTGAAAGAACATATGTAGAAATCATTTCCGCCTCATGTTTGCAATGAGGAAAGGTCCGGGCAAGGAAAACTTTTAATGGTTCTAAAATTACCATTTACGGCAAATTTGTAGTACATTTCTAGGACGTTTCTGACTTATCTCAGGTAAAAATCTTCTAGCTCATAAAATAGCTTCAAAATCCATCAAAAATGGCAATTTCAGGACCATCAAAAGTTTTCCTTGCCCGGACCTTTCCTCATTGCAAACATGAGGCGGAAATGATTTCTACATATGTTCTTTCAGATGTCCTAAAATGCGCCACAAAGTCTCCTGAAACATGAACTCTTTGCTGTACTGAAATGTAGCCATATTGAGTCATTTCAGGTTCATTTCAGGCTACACAAAATTTATCATGTTCCTGCACCGCAAATGGCTACGAAAGTGGTAGCAAATCTATCATTTTGGGACATCAGAAAGCCCCGGTTAAGTCTTCAAAAATGAAACAGCTTTGATGGCTTGACCAGGACATTTCAGGTGATCTGAAATCAGCTCATGCCCGTAGTGTCACTAGCCACACTTGCAAAAACAGTAGTTCAGGTCGATTGTCGATCATTATTCAAGTTTGTGTTAGTGATGAGACATTCATACCTTTTCGTTTCACTCCCGACACCAGCCGACCTTACGAAAGGCTACACTTGACCCTCAGTCGCAGAGCTCCCTGATAGGTCTTTGGAGGGCAAGGTACGGACAGATAGTGTCATGTTGACCCTATCAGCTTGTGCCTAACAGCTATCTTTTGCTCAAAGCCATGCCGATGGCGAATGCCACCTCGTATTCCCCACTCGCTCGCGAGGAGAGAGAGGATCTCGAGAAACAGTTGTTGGCCACGCGGCTACACGCCTCGGGCCTCGCTCGGCGACTTAACGCTGCCAATCCTGCCGTCAGACTCCTGGAAGAGATATTGGTAGAGATATTCAAGTGGCACATAGCGGACCCTTCTACCACGCCGACGGGCATCAATCCCCATATGTCTGAAACCTACGGACGGATCCTGGTCACTCATGTATGTCATCGCTGGAGGGAAGTCGCCGTAGAGGCTTCAGTGCTCTGGACGACGATTCGGGTCACAAGGCGGCTTGACTGCGTCCGAGCATTTCTCGATAGGTCCCGATCGCGGTCTCTCAACGTATTTGGCAGCATGCCCGCTTTGGCAGAGCACAGATTCCGCGTTTGGAGGTTCGTCTTTCGCCATGCGGCTCGCATAGAGGAGCTGGCTCTCAACCACAGCGAAGAAGACCTGCAATATTGGGAGAAGTTCCTGCACTTCCTTCGCTCATATCCCAAAGAGTTCCTCTCCTGAAAAAACTCACAATCAATGCCACCAGCCACATTGTCGTACATCTTCCATCCCTCCTGCAGCTGCTGGGTAGGCACTCTGCCCTCGAGGAAGTCTTCTGCCTCAGTGTGCCCATTCCTGTTATTGCCCCGATTCTCCCGTCGAGTCTTAGAAATTTCTCCCTCACCGGTCATAAGCTTGATGCAGGAATTGAAGATACCTGGGCGACGCTGTTTCCCGTGCTCAAATCCCTGCCGCAGCTGGAGACCCTCATTCTTCAGGACGCCATCCCCGGGGTACCAGAGGAGGTATTCACCGCTCCCGACAATTATCTCGTGATCGCCACTCCACCAATCGAGCTCCCACGCCTTCGTGATCTGCGAATCCCGTGCACCGTGCCTGGGGGGGGGGAATATGTCACCTCCACGTTCCTGGCCAACGTCGTGCCGTCGCCGACCGCCTCGCTGCGTGTACTCAACACCGACCCCGACAGGAGAGACCCGGGCCTATCTGTTTTGGGGAAAGCCATCAGTAGGCACCTCGCCTCGGCGACGACGCGCGACGCGTCCGTAGCGCTGCGCGCACTGTACATCCGGCGCGACGACCCTGAGGACGGCTCGGGCGTCACCGTGCTCGGCTGGTTCAAAGAGCTCGATTATCCCCCCGAGGTCGACATGCACCCAGACGTCGGAGTCTTCCTGCAAAACTGCATCGCCGTCGGGTGGTGTACCTTCCGCGCCTTCCTGCCGTCCGTGCCGCTGCAGAGCGTGCAGACGCTCGTCGTGGAAGACACCGCCGCGGGATACGAGCACGAAGAAGGGTCGTGCGTCCCGACGTGGGAGCTGTGGTGGCAGGCGTTTGCGCATGCAGAGGACGTGCGCATGCTCTGCGACCGAACTACACAGGGCGCTGGGCCTGCTCTCAGCACAGACCGCGCTCTTCCCGAAGCTGAAACAGCTTATGCTCCGCGATGTCGCGTTCCTGGACTTGCGCGAGGACGACGATGGGGGCTATGTGTAGGAGCGCGGCCGATGGTTCGCGGTGTTGGTGGAGGCGCTCCGGAGGCGCACGGCGCTTCAGCCCGAACTGCGCCTCGAGAGGCTCTACATCGTGGAGTCGGAGCGCATCACGGCGGACGAGGTGGAGGAGCTGCGAAAGTATGTCGACGAAGTAAATTGGGGTGGTATACGAGGAGACGAAAGCGTACACGACACAGAGCCCTCGAGCGTGGAATCAGACTCAGAGGATGGGGAAGGGCTTGGGACCCTGTTGAGCCAGTAATATGTGGCCAGAGGGCAACTATGTATATCGTATCTCATCATAACATCACAACATGGTCGAATGATCCACGTCTCTCCTCGTTGTCACTTTGCCATCAGACAAGCGTCAAGTACTAGTAAAGATCATGCTCAGCCGATGAGTTTGAGCACCGGGTTAACCTTAGCAGTAAACAACCAGCCACATGAACGTATGGCACCCACTCGTCATATACGAGTGACAACAGGTTTAAATACTCGTCAACCTCTCCTTCTCCTCTTCCTTTTCGGCTCGCCGGTCTCGGCCTGCTCTCCGCCGCCGCCGGATCCCAGTCCGCTACCAAGGACCGCCTTCTCAACGGCCTGTCTGCGGACTTTTTCAGGAACCTTCGCCCAATACAGCTCCTCCCGCTCCCCAGAGACGAGCTCGACGATAATGGCCTTCTGCTTCCCATCCGTCCTGCGTGTCCCCGTGCTGTCGAGGCCTTCGGTCTGAACGATCGGGTTATCGGAGAAGAACTTGACGAGCTGTTCGGTGTAGTGCGGAGCTGCTAATCGGATGTGACACTGAACGCGCGCGTTATGGATAATTATGACAAAAACGCGAACGTCTGAAGACTCACGGTGTTCATTCCCTTGTTGAAGTCGACATAGTCGATACCGTCATCAGACAACTCCGACTCTTCGTCGGTGAAAACCTGAGACAAGAGTTTCCGCAGCGTCGTTTTGTTGGTATCCGTGTGAACGTGGCGAACGAAGACCAGACAGCCCGGTGGATATGGCGCAGAGAGCTTTAAAACCGGTGCATCTGAAGGCGCATCTTCTGCACTCATTTCCTCAACTACTGCGGGCGGTGACACGACGGACGCGCTAGGCCCCGCGCCGTCATTCGTCCTTTCCTCTTGTGCAATCTGCTCCAACAACTTCTGCCGATACGACAGATACTCTTGGTTCAGCTTATCCCAGTGAGACTTCGTTGTTGTCCTGAAGCCAAACCGGATGGCATCTGGGAGGTCCTTGCCGGAGCTGGTGTCCGACGGCGACTTCGGACGCTGCCACGGCCAATTCTGCAATAGGTGGTCGAGGTCCTCGGGCCTGTTCAGCGTGACTAAAGCGAGGCCCTTGCATTTCGGCTGGTCGTCGGACTTATCTAGGTGATGTCGGGGGAGAGATATGTGTTGGACGCGGTCGACGAGGCCATCGGTTTTCATTTCTGGTAGGAGATCATGAACGAGCCGATATATGCTTGCAACATTGCGATATTGAGGCGGCACGTTTTCCTACGCGCTGTAAGATTAAAACGCCATGGCAACACGTCAGACGTACAATGTAAATTGTCAGAGCCTCCCATTCGTTCCGCACAGAGTTTCGTGCGCGATGAAGTGCTTCCTTCGCGCCTTTCAGGCGCACCTCGTATCCACCAAAGGCATCGCGCGACGTGGGGTTCTTGCCATACCAAGCAGCACGAGACGGGGCGGACATCAACATCCGGGCGTCGAAGATGTCGGATGCGTGTGCGCGGATTGCCTTGACTAGAATAGCCTCCGGAGGACGTGGCATGTCGTCGGAAAGCGGTAACCTATCACCGAGGGCAACGAGAGGCACATCTTCGTCGTCATGAGTCCGTCATAACACGTCAAGATAATGCAGACGTACAGCTCTCTTCCGCAAACTCCATAGTCCTCCGAAGCTCTGCGTCAGACCACAGCGCATAGTCCGTCATCGTCAGGAGCAGCATGGCTGCATATTCCTCCTCACTGAGCCATTGGCTATCTTGAGCAGCCTTTCCCTTGCCCTTCGAGGAATGTGTTGCATGATCCGGTGCAGGCGAGACTTCCCGTTCATTTGAGCGTGAGCTCTCCCCGAGTCGTCTCGGAGGTTCCTTCGCTGCCGCGGTTGATGAAACACCGGTGTTATCCCTCTTCTGCAGAGATTTCGCGACCTTTCGAGGGACGAATGGTAACATGATTAGCGCTACACGCAAGACGCAGCTGGCGGGTGGGTGCAACTCAAGCAGTGGCTCTCAGAAAGGCAACCTACGGCTTCCGAGCCCGCCGAGGAGGTATTTAAGCGCGCGCAGCCTGTGGCATGCTGTAATTGCATCTACGACTCGGAGTACTGCCAGTGTATTTCATCATTTTGGGGGAAGATAAGGCCCAGAAAAGTGAACTTGTACTACACAGGGCACAGACCATGCGTATTAGTACGGCTTAGATAGTTTGGTAAGTAGCACCAATTAGACGAGTGACCCAGAAAAAGGTATGTAACTAGTCATCAGTATAGGCGGGGGGAATGTCGACCACCTGCCCTGGTGGAAGACGAATCCCTGAATCTGAGTGCATTCTCATGCTTGGAGACGAAGTGTGTTCGCGCGTCGCGTTTGTCTGGGGAGTCGGAGGGGGTACCGGTGCTGCTTGCCTCGTTCGAGTAGCGGAGTCTACTAGGCTAGATGTACTCGCTACGGGGAAGCTGGGCGAAGGCGTATCCGCACTAAGCATGGGAGTATGTGCAGCACTCGCCAGTTTCTCAGATTGTATAGTCGAAGGCCGTACAGTAGGGTTGGCAGGCCACGATCCGAAAGCAGTGACCTCTCCTTCGAAAGCTGGAAATATCTCTGAGCAAGTGTGCATGCGCGACATGATAGTGAAGCTTACCAGGGGCACTCTGATTGCGCTTACGATAGCAGAACCAAAACAGCGACAGAATGAGTGCTGCGAGAAACACCACTCCTCCGACCACTCCTCCAACGACAGCCCCGGTATGGGAGGTTGACGCTACTGAAGGTGAAGACGTCTGCGCACCTGCCAAGGAGGTAGATGTTGACGTTGACGCCAATAATAAAGATGCTGAAGGTGATGAAGCAGATGTGGAACTTTGAGATGTTGATATCTGCGAAGATGATGATGCGGCTAAATTGACACCTCCGGAAGGCGTGTAAAGGATGTAGTCAAGCCAGTAGACAGATGGCGCAGTACCATTGATGTTTGTAATGACGAGGGTGTGTTCTGCAGGTTGCAATGGAGGCGAACGGTAAAACAGGACATGCGCGGCGAAAGTCCCGGGCGTGATGAGGGGCGCGGTGTATTCCACCAGGGTGTCTGGGAAGCCATCGATTTCGTATGAGGAAACTGGAACACCATAGACGTCGTAAGAGCCTAACGATCCATACACCTCAATGCCGGTGCCTATGTCAGCATCATGAGTGGATCATTCAATTTTCCACAGATTTCGCAGCCGATTGTTCGAACATACCATTGAACACATAAATTGCAGTCATTCCAGCTTCATCCGCGCCCGTCTTCGTATCGTTGTACTCCGCAGAAGTGGTGACTTGCAGCCATCCTTGCGAATAGCTGATATTGGGGTCTCTATCGTCTACGATGTACGCTGTGCTGTTGTACGGTAGCTGGGACATGCTGGGTAACAGTGGAGAGACGAGGTGGTCAAGAGGGGATGCGCCGTTCCTACTCCGCACGTACTATCTCGTTCCTGAGCTTGCCCTGAGCCTTGAGACTCATTGCTTAGCGCGATTGGATCAGCGTATCAAAGTTCCCGACGTGCCGACACGCATCTAGCTTTCACCGCCCCGCGAGCCTATCTGTAATCCCGAAGTCAGCTTGAAACATTCCGGCCGGGAAGGCATCAGCGATAGTGACCTCACCCGGGCACTCAGTGCAATGCAACGATTGCATTCCGTGTGCTTGTTTTTTTTTTGCGCTGGTGGTCAATGTGACTGCACTTCCCCTGACGAAGGCAGTGAACGTAACTTGCATGTACTGGTGAGACAATGATGTGGCGCGCCATTATGATCTGCTGGCGCGGATGGCACGCGCTAGTCGTCAAAGCTCTAAATGAACATCCGTAAACCAAGTACTGATTGAACAATTCCAAACTAGCAGAGGAAGTTATTAACTTAAGAAAAGGGCGAGGGATCAAGTTATCATGACGTACACTACAAAGCCAACAACTGAACTGGCTAACGTCGCGTACTACAGGATTGCGCCGGTAGAAGTGAGAATCATCGCAACCGAGACAGAACGGTTCGTAAGTACTCGTGGAATGCGAAGCTAGTTGGGTGAGGACGCAGTAGGAATGTCCACAATCGCTGCCTGTGCGCTGCGTGGCAGTCGCACGCCCGAGTCTCCATGGTGTTGCAAAATCGGCGGCGATACATAAGGTTCCCGCTCTTGATTGCGTGCCTGGCGCATTGCCCTGAACTTTGCACGGATAGCACGCGGATCTTGAAGGACTGTGTTCGGGACGCCCATCGTTGGACTGGCAGTTCGGGATCGATTGCCGTGATTGTCGATTGCGTCGTCGTCGCTATCATCTTTAGCGACGATAGCGCCGGCGTATGGAGTGAATGGCATGTCAGCCTGGCTGTCCGGGTGCGACGGCGATGTAACTGATGCTGACCGCCTTGTGCGAGAGACTGGCCCCGGGGATCCCACAGGCACGGCTTCGGACGACCAAGAGAACGACCCAGACGTCGCAGTTCGAACAGCCTTGAATTTCACGTCTTCGAACTCGACGGGGATCTGGGGCGTTATGTTCCGGAAGGGACTGTAAGGAGTGACACCTATGGCAAAGAGCAAAATGAATCAGCGTTTTAAGTTAAGAGTACGACAACTCTTACCTGGGGTTTCCCTGCTGCGCCTTCTGCGATAATAAAATAGGATTATGCAAAGCACAGATAAGATCAACAATGCAATCCCGGCAGCAATCCCGCCCGCGACTGCCGCGACCGAGGTATGATGGGACTCGCTGTCTTCAGGTACGCCTGTAGAATGTGTTGCGCCCGGCGCATTCCGATAATACTAGTGACAGTCGCAGGTGGCGGCGGCGGCGGCGAGCTAAAGGAAAGAGGGGAAGTAGGAGGTGGGCTACCGGGTGTGATCGTTGAGGTAGTGGGGGCATAGACAATGTAGTCGAGCCAATAGACACGGCTCCGTTCCGTTCTCGTTGGTAATCACCAGCTCATGCTCTCCAAAAGGTAGCTGTGGTGATTGGGAGAATAGGAGATGGGACTTGAAAAAGCCCGGGTCGATGACGGGTGCTCCGTACGTCGCACTATTTTCTCCGTCCACAGTGTAGCTTGAAACGGGCACGCCATACACATCCCAAGAGCCGACAGAGCCGAAAACGGAGACTTGCGTACCTGCAACACTGACGCAATCAGTCTTCAACTTAGTCAACTAGGAACGTGAACGCACCCATGAACTTGAAGCTGGCAGTCATACCCGCCGTATCTGCTCCTGACTTGGTCGCGTTAAATTCATCGGTAGGATCGGTGGTGACCTTTTGCCATGATGGAGATTGGGAATAGGCAATACTTGGGTCGCGGTTGTCCACTGTGACCGTAGACATGCAGAACTTGTGGAATGTGAGAGGTGAGAGATCCTAAGTAAAGCTCGCGCCGGCTGTGCATTTCTGCTAAGCTTTAGGAGTACATCATCGTGGCGAGACTGGTAAATTTGAGAACTATAGCGGGATGTCAGAAGAGATGGGCGCACTAGTTCTCCACCGCCACTGATGTATGCTTGCCAGGGCCCGCAACTAAGACGCTATGGTATGGCATTGCTGTCCGAGGTACAAACAGTGATCCCGTAGGAAACCGTCGACGCATCCCTATCTCACCTCATCCACGAGTCGGAGGGAAAGCCTGTGTCCGCCTCCAGCTTAACACACATTCCATGTATAGCTTGTAACAGACCTTTGAGGCTCGAGATGCCTGCACGCATGGCTAGAACGTCTGTCGAGTGCCGATTAGTAGCTCGGGCTCACTTGCAATGTCATGGCATTTCGCAAACCATACTAGAATGCTGCAGAGTGTCAGCAAAGAGCGTGTTTTGTCTAACGCATAGATCTGTTGAATATCAGCGAGTTGAACGCCGCACACGTGAAACCAACTCACTTCAGATTGAAACAGAACTGCCACTAGAGTAATATATAAAACCAGTCGGATGCAGCGGACGAAAAGAAAGTGGAGGGAGTGCAGCAATAAAGGCTCGTGAGGGAGCGCGAAAGTACAATCGTTGCATGGATCAAACCCCTGCAGCTCATTTTGGCATATTCGAGCAAGGAAGGAAACACATAAACACGCCGGATACTTTGTGTAAGCTTGCCTAGCGTGCGAAATTTACCTATTGCCCTAGCAGTACCGGCGATCATAGGAATATCCACTTGGAGACGGAAGTAAGGAGTCGTTCGACATGCTAGTATGCATTGGTTTGAACGTACAAATGGCATCACTTCGCAAATACGGGAGCGACTGCAAGAGCCTAACAAGAATTAGTCTCAGTTGGTGGCAGAGCGTACACAGGGGGCATACCTGTTTGGTAAACTCATAAATTCGCTTTTGGCTTGCGAAGAGGATCGCTGCAGTGAGTACGCTCTGTAGAAGCTTAGAGCTCAATCCTCGATACAGCCCTTCAATGCCCTCCTCCTTCGCAATGATCAGTACGCTGTGCAGTGCAGACTTGTAGCGTGCCGCTTCATCGGAGCCTGCTTGCAATCGGTTCTTAACGACGCTGGTTGTCCTGAAGTCAGCGTTATCCGCATGCAGTCAAGTATCAACTCACATGTAAGGGTATGTTAGGCTAGTAGCGACTATGGCAGGGTTGAAGCTGAGATGAATGCGGCATACAGAGGAAATGGCGCGATATCTTCGTACCAAGTTTCGACAATGCTCCTAGGAAGAAGTAGTCCCAGTCCGAAAGAACAGCCACTGCAATGGCCAGACCTCCAGTAGCACGTAGCTTTGCTGTCCGTCTCTTGATGAGAAGATTCTTCATTTGCTCGAAAACAGTGTACTGGATAATAGGGTTCATAACGAGTACAAGTGCGGGTCCGACCCCACGGAAGAACGCTGAAATGCCGTAATCCTTGAGTAGGGTGCGGACCGTCTGGATCACACCCATCCGTGACTTGGGCTTGTCCGACGTGTCTTGGTTAATCTGCGTGGTCTGGATCACCCACACGGGGTTGCTGAGGATGGCGGTACAAGAGCCTACCGTAAGTTAGCCAAGCCTGTTAGCCTTCGAGGAGGAGAACAGATTTGCCTGCAACTAGTCCAGCCAGCATAGACTCAAGGGTGCTCAAGGCCTTGCTTCCCTCGCGAGACTTGACGATAAATTCTTTTGTGTTCTCGTAGAAGAAGTAATAGAACCTATTCGAGCATTTGCACTTCAATCTACACCGAGGTGCGAGTCTAGGACGTACCCATTGGTCAAGGCGATGGCAAACAAGCAGGGCCCGACACCACGGTACAACGCCGTCCAGCCTTTTTCCCTCCTTATGGTTTGGAGGGCCTCTAGGATAGACTAGTCGATACAATGGCATGTGGTCAGCATTTATGCACGTCATACGCGGTTCACTGTGAGATACACCTTCTTTGCCTTTGTCTGATCCTGCTTGTCCACGCTTTCGCGAGTTGAGAGGACGACGAGAGGGCTTCATCATAGTTCAAGATATATCCGGAACTTGCGAGCAAAAACATGCTGCTCACTATGTGGCGGTCACAGCTACTATCCCTCCCGCCGCACCCGCTGCCGCGTGAATGAGTCCATTGTTGAGCATGTTTAGAGATCTATGATGTGGGTGGTATTGCCGACTGAGGGTCGAGGAATGCTGCAACCAACGTCAGAGTCGTGGTTGTGAAGCAAAGCGAAACAAGCCATGGTTAGGGCAAGCTTGGCGGGGTCGACTTCGGCGGAGCGTGCGTCAATGACGGAAAGACAACGGACGGAGGTGTAACCGGAGATACGGCGGCTTCGTGGCAACACTCGTCCAATCACATGCTCGGACTTCAGTACGAGGACGCGAGCAGTGCAGTACGTGGTATTCGATATATTAGTACACATTGAGCCAGTGCTATCAAGAAATGAACGTGTGACGACAACGCTAATCCATGAATGATATTGTCCGTTCAGCAAACAACCTATGACCGCGACGAGCCGGCAGCCTTGCCAAACTCCTCTCCTGCAGTGAGCTTACGCAAGAGGCTTTTGAGCTCTTCGACGTCTTCTTTGAACCCGTTCGTACTAGAGGTGGCTTTGTGTGTGCCAGTCAGCGGGGCAGCACCACCGTCAGAGTTCAATGGCCGGCCATCATCCTGCTTAAGCCACTCGTCGAGTTGTTTAGTTATGGACCGTGCTTTCAAGCGGAAATGGGTACGGATCACATCCTCGAATGGTTCTGGAGGATTTTTGAGGTTGTTAAGCATCTAAATTTACCGGAATCAGCTGGTGTACAACGAGGATCAAACATCTACACGTACAGCTGTGCGCACTACCATTCGCCGGATATTGACCGAATCTACAGAAATTTCGATTAAAGACTCATTGCAGAGCGATGAACGTCAAGTATTCACTTACATGCTTTCGATTGTGGCGTTCCAGCGCAATTTGCCCAAGCTGGCTCGTTGAGGTAAGGCTCATCGCACAAGATCATGGATTGGATTGAAATCAAGACCTAAGAGTGAAATTAGACTACAGCCGACTACCAAGAAGCGTATATACCTACCTGCAACAGTGTAGATCGCCCTGAGACCCAACCAGGCCCCGACCAAGTGCCAAGGAGAGATAGGCAGACCTTGCCATCCTATAATATTAGTTAGCGGCTGACCCGGCGGCTACAAACGACTTCGATGCTTACTGCGTACAAATTCGGGTTAAAGCGGTACTTGCCACCGTTGGTCTATCACACTATGTATTACGTCTCCTAGATCTCTCGACGACAACGACGCAACATACCGTCATATACTTAACGCTCGGCGGCGACTGGTTATAGCTTGGGCCGAGGAAGATATCGAAAAAGTAGCTTTACACAGTCATCAGTACGTGACTTTTGGGTTCCCAAAAAATGACTGACCAGCCATTATAATATCTGGAGACACGAGTGTAAGGGAGATACCAGTACAGCAAGACGGCATTCTCAATGGGACTTACGGTGTCCCCTCTGGGCCGGTGATCACCGCTTTGATGACATCGACACGGGTCTCATCCACCCGAAGGAATATCGAGGAATTCCACGCAACAGGGAGGTTTGTGGTAAGGACCGCGAGCTGTAAACGTTGAGTTATCTCAATCAAATAATGACAGCCTAAAGACTCAAGCCCACCTCCTTGGCAATAGCCAATGATCTTCTAGGAATATCCGAGTTGGCCAGCATCCTCGCCTCCGCGTTATAGAAGAACTTATAATGCGGCGGCTCGTCCTCGGGCGCATCCTGCGCAGGCGGTATCGTGAGGTCGCAGTACTCGAATCTGACACGGCTTGCCCAGTCCACGTACGCCTTCTCGACATCCTCATCCGAGTCCTTCTCGCCGACCATGAAGTTCGAGCCTTCTTGGCCCCCGGATGAGCCTGGAATCTTCGGTAGTGCAGCGTGCAACCGGTCCACGAACGCATCACCCTTCGTCTCGCGTAGCGAGCGGTCGATCGCTTTGGCGGTCCCGAGTATGCGCTTGCAGAACCCAAGCAGCTTCACATTCTCTTCGGGAGAAATTTTTGGCGTGTCCTTGCCCTTGCCCTTATCGTCGGAAGTCAGCCTTTTCTGATCCTCTGTCATCTCTAACTTAGCAGCCTCAGCAGCCTTGGTACCCGCTTCCAGACCCTTCATCGCCGCCTGCGCTTGGATGACGATGGCTTCGAGAAGCTCACGTGGACCTGACGAGCCCTCGTAGACAATGGTGCGTTCACGTATTTGCGGACTGTTCTTCGAGGACCCTTTTCGGGCTGCGACATTTTTGACGGATGACACCACCATGATGGGCATTGCCATCATACTAGCGAGTGCCTCATGACACGAGATAGTCTATGAATCAGTCAATTGTCAGTCAGACGACGTATACGTCCCCGGCGCGTACATACCTCCAGCCATTCCATAAGCTCGAAATACAGGGCGGAACGCTCAGACATGTCCAGCAGAGAATCGTTGCGGAGTAGTTGGCTGCCGACGAAGTTGAACCGCCTCCGCAGATGCGCGAGCGTCGTTGGGTGGGGAAGATAGTCGCAAGATTTTCCACCGCCTTGACGGTCCAAGTTCGGCAAATAGATTCGAACGCTCTTCAGCAAGTGTGCAAGCTTTTCGTCCTTCAGCTTTTGTGCAGCCAGAGCCTCGAGCTGACCGGAGTTCTGTTATGTGCTCGTTGAGTATAGGGGAACATGTCATCAAGGTCCTAATACCTACGTCCTCACGAACGTCTCCGGCATAGCCAGTACCGAGCTTGGCCTTCTTGCCGACGGCGGCTAGTCCATGCATGTAATCTTCATCGTCCAGCGATGCACTGCCGTGAGGAGAAGGCGTACCAGCAGCTTTGCGTCGTCGACCTGTCGTCGGCCTGGTAGTTTTGTCGTCAGCCTTCTCTTGCTTTTCTTCCAAGAAATTCTGTTCGACCATGGCGAGACCAACGCCAAGAATCACCCCTTGTAAATTGGGGCAGTGAAATAGACATTCTTTCCCTGTCTGGTCTGCTTCTGACATAGGTTCGCCACAAGCAAAGCAGAATGGCTTCTTGCATGTTGCGCACTTTCGTGGGGCGATCTTTCGAAGATGCGAGATATATGTGGAAAATTCTGACTGCAATCCTTGAACGCCAACATTTCGCTACCACAATGCGTATGACTCACAAACAACGCAAAAAAGTCCTGCTTCCGCCGAGATATTGTCGATCCACAGGCATGAGGACAAGAACATTGGCCTTCGGTCAGTTCATGATATTGGCTAAACAAGAACCCCTGCTCGCCGCCTTCGGGACACCCCTTCATCCATTGACCCTGGGTCATGAGCTTGGCTTTCTCGTTCGAGCTGGGCACAAAGACGACTTCCGGCTCTTCTTCTACTTCGATCACTTCTTCGCGTCTGTCCTTGGAGAAGAAGACACCTAGTTGGTCTGTCAACATCATATGCACGGTAAGTCAGAGACGACTCGCCTGCATAGGGATCTGCGGTAGACGCGCCGTGGCCAGGACCTTCTTTCACCGGTTCATAGTCGGAATCGTAGTCCACTATGCGAACAGACGGTGTGAGCATAGTCTTCCCGGCCCCATCACGATGTACGAACTATATTCATTCTCATCATCGTCATCTTCAGCACCATCTGCGTACTCGTCGTTATCCCCCTCCCCATCGTCATCTGGTGTCTGAGCAATTGTGAGCGCGATCCCATCAGCACCTGGTGGCGCGTGCACTCACCGCTGTGCGCGTTCTACTCGAGCTACCCGCGCGCTCGCTCACTGACTTCATCTCCACGTCTTCAGAGTCATCCGTGACATGATCAAACGCGCCATCGAAGATGCGTTCCGCCGCTTGCATAACATCGTTGTATTTCTTGAGTGCCGCCCGTGCCTGGGCGGGAGTTGCCCCCTGTGTCAATTTTGAGTACAGTCCTAGAGGTAGTAAGAGCACGCGCGTACCATGTCTACGAGCTGCTGCACCTCTTTTTCCATAGTCTATATGATATAATACGCGAGTATAGTCGTTTGTCTAGCAGCTCAGGAAACGAAGTCAAGGTAGGTAACAGGAAATGCGCCCGCACGCGCTTCATTAAACTCACGCGCACGTGGGGTCAATTCGTCCGCTGCCTCAGTTAAGATGATGACGTGGTTGTGTACAGTGTCCTACACAGTAACCTTCGATAGCTCAGTTGGAAGAGCGCAAGACTGTAATGGGTTGCCCAAAGTTGATCTTGATGTCGCTGGTTCGATCCCGGCTCGAAGGAACCATTTTTTGTCTCAGCAGGAAAGTTCTGCTGCCTGACGGCTGATTCTATTATCTGCTCAAGACGAAAGCTTGTCATTTTGTCCTAAAAGCGATATCTTATAGGTGAGAGTCTGCTCTCCGAGAAACAGTTGACTCGCCAAGATAACAGAGGCACTATGGAGAGTATCAAGAAAGAAAGGGTTAGCGCTGCTGCGGCATTCTTTGCGGCCCTACGTTGCAAGCTCTGTTAAATCGAAGTGCATTCTGTTCAGAGCTACCATAGAGTCCTCTTCGACCCAGTGCTGCACCTTGCCATTCCATTCGACGGTCCCGACAGCACGCCGACAAGTGCAGCATATAAAAACCGGAGCTGACAGGCGCCGAACCCGTACGCCCCTTCGATAACGAGCTTCTCCAATGGGAATGACCTCCGCAAGAGAGCCCAAGTGAGAATTGGGAACCAGCCCGCAAGGAAGCGGCGGTCCGGCGCGCTGTTGCTAAGAGTGAGGATATTGAGCTCCGGGAACAAGACGGCGGCGTCTGCCGTGGAGGGAACAAGGAGGGAACAGGGGCCTAGGCGAAGGTGCCGGCAGATATGCCCTCACGAGGAGCTCTCGCACGCTCTTCATGGTCATGGATGTCTTCATCCAGGTGATCGGCTGGTACCCGTCAGCGGCAGCGACGAGACTCTGTACGCTACGGAAAGTGCTCAAAGATACGAAGTTCTCCACGAAAACGGCGAAGCGAAAGGAGATAAAGAGGATACATAAATCTGGAACCAGCCCATGCCAATCTTTCAGCGAAGGGAACGTAGACGGGGTCCTGTTCGACCATCGGTAGATGACCGCTTCGTCTACATCTTTGAGGTCTTAGGGACAACCGAGCCAGAGTGAGCGGACGGGAGGGATAAGAGCAAGGGAGGATGAGCCCTTGAATCATTTCCCGAGTGGATGAATGAGCTTGGGGATATCTCTATCCGCACGGCCAAGGCAAATAGGTCTTCCAGAGGAAGCCCGAGCTGTCGATCTCCGTCGAGACACAGAAATACACTCGCGGTGAGTGGGGACGACAGCAAATTCAAAAGGAAAGTAGACGCTACACGATAGCCGGGGAGTCGAAGAGTTTGAAAATAGGGCAGAGATATAATGTTCGACGTTCCTGTGTGCAAGTCGGCAACGGCTGCCCGGGCCCCAGGGGGGGGGGACCAGACGGATAGATATTCTCCATGGAGAGCGGCCGAATTAGTTCCAGGCTACGCGGGGCGCCAATGAAAACAGACCAAGAGAATTCCAGCTTTCTAGACGCCCTCAGATGTCCATGAGGTGCTCCACGAACATCGACAACGCAGGGGGTGGGTGAGAAAAGTGGCGCGATAGAAGAGAAAGCGAAGAGAGCGGCAGTTAGTGATAGAGGAGAAGAGAACGAGTTACTCCTTCGAGCGAAGGCAGGAATATTCGCAGCACATCCTTCCTTAGATATGAGTTGAAGTTGAATGAGCTTTGGGAAGCCGCCGTCAGTGATGTTGTTGAATAGGCCCTCGTCCCCCCTGCCGATTTCAATTTTGAGTTCTCTGATATACGCAGAAATCTTAAAAAGGCCAGTCCAATACTTGCGCAGCAATCTGGCATCTTTCTGGTGCATGTACCCCCTGGCGGACGGTGCGGTGCTCGGACGAGATCTCCCGAGGAAAATGGGGAGCCCCTCGGATGCGGTCAGAGAGATGGTGGACCAAAGGGTAGGTTAATTGACCGCAACTTCTCTCCGGCGATGACAGACATGTGTCAAAGCGATCGACCACCCATGGTCCAAGAGAAAGTCAGAGTTAGGCGACCGTAAAGCTGAGCAAGCACCACCATGGGGTCCTGCACAGGGAGCAGTGATTGTTTCGTCCTAGCGGACCACAGGGATATGTAGATCTTGAATATCTCGATGAGGAGCTCCGGCTACAGAGATACAACAGCGATACGGGAATTGTGCTGGCGCTTTGCTCCGAGAACCTCGTCGGTAATAATACCACCATTTTGCGGTTACGACGCGGTTATGAGCTTGAGATACATGATACATACATCATAGTTGCTTCTTCGCCGGCATATACAGCTGCCTGAATTTTCTTTCGGCCCGTGCGTCGAGCACGTCTTGTACCACAGCAAAAAAGTAGTTAGAGCGATTTTTGTCAGGGTGGTCTAACAGACTGACTCCGTGCAGGAATGGGAGATGTAAAAGAGCCAACGGAAACCAGCTCGCATCATCAAGCAGCCTTTATGTTCTGCGAGCTTCACGGAAAAGACTCAGTCGACTACGCCTTACCTGAATTGGTGAGCCGGCCGCTAACTGAGATAAATAAATTACGCGCTCACGTGAGAGAGCCTTGAATCGTGCGGAGCGAGCGAATCAATGCGTGTAGTATAGATGCAACTGGTAGACCGGCAGCCTTCGCTCGGAATTCAACGTTGCGTTCGAATCTGCCACTAGGATACTTCCGAGTCCGCTCTTGACGATCACATGAGGCCGAGTTGACAACGGGTACTGTTGGTTGTAGTCGTAGCCCATCTTGAGGCATATGTCTTCAGTGGAACAACATCCTTTTGAGACAAGTAGCGTTGAAAGCAATTCTCGTCGTGGCGTGATGACATAAGCGCTCCGAATCTGGCTGTTGTCATTAACGCCCAGTGCACGTGCTCGTGCAACTCGCGTTTGGGACCTTGCTTGGAGCGCACGCTCTTCATGTACCTCCATGTCCTCCTGCGGGGCCGTATACTACAGGTCTCCGCCCCTCTCGTAATCTCACTCCTTATATTTGATTGTACGTTGTATAAACATGGGTAATCAACACTCACGCTACGGAGACTATCAACCAAAGTTCCCACCCAAGCAAGCATATTACTCGGGATATAGCACGCGACGAAAACATAGACGAGCTCACGACCGCGACGACGAACGTTATGAAGATGGCGGATACCCAAACTACACATACTCGCAATACCCTGCTTTCACGCGTATGTCCTTCCAGTGCGTATTACCCGGTGTAGAGCAATAATTGATGCCGTAGGTGAACTACAGCTTCTCATACGCAACAGCCCCACGGATACACCCCAGTCGTGCCGTCACCAATGAACTTTGCTCACCCAGCACCCTCTGCATACCCTGTGATACCACCTATGCCCGTGCCCACGCATCCCGTGGTCGTACCGAACGCCGCTCCCATGCCGCAACCCATGATGCAGATGCCCATGCCACAACCTATGCCAACCGCCATGCCTCCCACGACATCTGCACCTGTGATACCACCTGTGCCGCAGACCGGGACTGGGACTCCATATCCTATGGCTCCTGAACCACCGGTCATTCCAGCGATGGCCGCCGTTTACCCTCCACCACTCCGGTACGACGACCGCTCTTCCTCGTATGATTCTTCCTCGAGTTCAGATTTAGGGGACATGCAGCCCGGACCTTCACTTCCTCCCAGACAGTCTGGTCTACGAAGCTTTGTTTTCGAACGTCCACAGTCCATTGTCTTCCACCATCATCCACTTCCGTCCCCTCCAGTGGACATCTTCGAGCATAGTCCCAATATGAGACTCCTCGAGGATCTCCGGCGTCCTGTAGAAGAAGTCCTGGCGAAGAGTAAAGTGTCCCCGACTGGCTATGTGATTACACCCGTCGGGACTCGGGCGTCACATGAGAAGAAGAAACGCAAGGGCCTGTTCCGAGCTTTTGGTGAAAAGCTCAGTGGCAAGTCGAAACGCGAGCACGAACAGCCACAAATGACGCAAATGGCCATTCCAGTTGTGTACGCCGCTGCACCAGCCTTGGTTCAGCCACAGATACGACCAGGCGTCGTGCCATCGCCTGGCTATGTATATGACCCTGCGCACGCGAGCTCAGGCATCATCCCACCACAAGTAGGGTTCATACCAGGGACTGCTCCAACTCCGATGTTTGCTATGCCTGCGTCTGGGACACCCGCCCCTCCACCTCCACTGCCGCCAAAAGGGCCTGCATCACCGTCACCTTCGCACGCATACAGCCCGCGTCCACATAGTCCACGTTCGCACAGCCCTCGTGCGCATAGTCCGCGACCTTACAGCCCTCGACCATATAGTCCGCGTTCGCATAGTCCTCGCCATAGCCATGAACCACTCCGGATCGACCTGCTCGGCAGTTTCACCGAACTTACCCACATCTCTCCGCACGATGTACTCTTCAACAACAGGTTGTACCCGACCGTATTACATGCGTTGGAAGCTCAGCGGTTTGAGGGGATCAGGCCAGATATTGTCGACGAGATTGCGGCGTGCCACACCCCCGATGATGTTCGTGTCGTCGTGAGCCGAAGCAGCGATTTCTCCCGACCGGACTGGGAGCAAGTTGTTGTGCAGATGGTGAGCTTCCTTTGTCCACCTCGCTGCTCGTGTGGCTCACTCTCTGAGAACAGATGGATGAGGTTCTTTTTCACAAGTTCAAGCAACATCCGCATCTTCAACAGATCCTTTTGGGCACCGGAGATCTGTCTCTGCAATTTTTTGCCCAGCAGGACAACTTCTGGGGAGATGGGCCCCTTGGGCAAGGAGCGAATCATCTGGGCAAGGCTCTTGAACGCGTTCGGGAGAGGCTTCGCAACGAACGCTACCCGTGACCGCGTGACCACTTGTTTCCTTCCCCCGACTTAGACTTTATCATACTGTCGGCCCAGGAACACTGCGTTGACGCCGTCCCTAGCCGCTGCTAATAATTCCCTGTACCGCTTCCCAGACTGCTGTGAACATGCTACGTACCACATTCTTGCAGCGATTTGTCATGTACCGGATGCTCATTTAATGCAGCGAGGATCGTCTCGATTTATCACATCCTATTTGCAGATTTCGACCGTCCATGGTTCAGCCACGTGACCGTGCATTCACGCTGTCATTGAGTCCTGACATGTCCCCTTAGCCTACTTCTCGCAAACTCGCTGCTTAATTCTGCATCTTCGTCATCAGCCTCCTTTGCTCTCGACGTTCATCAAAAAAGCTCTACGAGGTGCGCCCCCCCCCCCCCCTTTTGTATGACCTGTTATCCTGTGCAATTGACGTCGTCGAGCACATTTTACAGCTCGCATACAGCGCATATATTCAGCTTTCCTTCGTGTAACCGTCGCATAAGATGTCCGGAAACATTTTTGTGTGAGCTGCTCGCATCTACTACTTCGAGCCCCACCTTGACCCCCTGGCTTTCAAGACCGTCACGTATATCACATGAAGCTCTCGATTTGACGGCCCTTGGGAAGTGCGAGCACAATGCTCGTCTGAAGATTGTAATCATGCCTGCGGAATTGTTACTCAAAATTTTCAAGCTCTACGTCCTCTGGTGGAATGAGCAAGTCGTTCCTCTCGTGGATCGCGAATGCGACGAAAATCCGAAATATTCCACGTGCGGCTGGGTCAGACGAATTACGCATATCTGCTATCGTTGGAGGGTCGTCGCTCTTCGTGACCCTTCTCTGTGGTCGAACGTCTTCTTGACGACCTCACCAGGTGCCCGTATTATTTTCGACAGATCCGGGGACAGTTACCCGCTTTCAGTGCACCGCTACATGGGGTCTGAGGACTACGACCATACATGTCCCATGTGGTTCCTCATTCTCCGCCACGCTCATCGCGTTTCAAAGCTCACGGTCGAGATCGACAGCACCAATTTCCCCTTCTCAGGTTGCCATCCGGTCTTTACCCAGCTCGAGGACCTTACTATTCAGAGAAAAACGACAGTGAGCGCATCGACCGCTCCCCCCTTTGCTCATCCGAAGGTGCTCCCTGCCTTGCGTCGCCTGGCTGTCAGACGACTTCTGGTGCCTGACCTACAACCCTTGTTCAATGACCGCCTGACGCACCTTTCTCTCACCCTATGTTCCCAATACCCTGACCCTGAGTTGCCTTGGAGTGTCTTTCTGCGCATTTTCTGCTCGATGAACAACCTAGTGCAGCTGGTCCTATTCTCAGCTCTCCCCAACGACCCCTATGGTACCTTGCACGAGGGTGCTGTGATCCTGCCTAGGCTCCGAAAGCTGCAAATGAGCGACTACTCGTCATCCATTACAGATTTTTTACGCCTTCTATCGGCTCCCTCAGATGCCTTCGTGTATATTGGATGCTGGGAATCGGTGATTATTGGCTCCAACGGGCAAAGAGACTTGGCAGAGCTGTCCGAGCAACTGTCGGCGGCCCTCTCCGAGTCACGTCTGTTAGGGTCCACTGCTCGTTTCCACTGCGTCGACATCGTATGCGAGCCGATGCCTGAAGGCTGGGACCACACATCTCTGTACGCCTGGCAGAAGGCGTATCCCGCATCCGACCTTGAGCCTTTGCGTAGCCGCCCGCAAAACGAAGAAGGTTTACCTGGACTGCAGCTGACGTCGAGCGATCTCTTCGTGGAGAGTCGCGCCCTGGTCGAGCTGTGCCAGACGCTTCCCTTCCGCGATGTCCTCACCTTCGCGGTACGTCTCGGAGATTACAATTTGACACCTGCGGACTTCATCGATATGTCTTTTGCTATGCCCAACGTCGAAAACCTTCTTGTTGACAGCGGCCCCGCCAACGGACTCTGCACCGCGTTCCTGCGGATTCCTGCGATAGTGTTATTTCGCAACCTCAAGGTGCTGACGCTGGAGGGTATGAGGATATATTCCTCCCAACAGCTGGAAGAGTACGAATCCATGGACTTGGAGAGAGAGCAGTTATTCTTGGACCTCGAGACGCTACAGTGTTTCCGAAAAGCCCTTTTGACACGTGCGCTGGATAGATTCCCGCTCGATAAACTCATCATCAAACGCGCGTGGAGGGTCGACCAGGGGGACATCGACACGCTCAAGGAGGCTCTGGAAGCCACCGGGGCTGTTCGCACAATCGAGTGGGACGGCCTGATCTTACACGGCGAGTGCGCGCACCCTGACTGCGGTGCACTGTGCGAATTGCTTGCGTTTGCCAGCGACGAGGACACGGAGGACGAGGATGAGGAGGAGTCTGGCGAAGAGAAAGATGGAGCGGAAGAGGCTGACAAAGACGACAGAGGAGATGGAATGGACAAAGACGAGTAAATATGTGGTAGTGTTCCCAGTGAACCGCTCGTATCCCTTAGAAATGAAAGAGTTTGTGTAGTTGTAGGGAAAGCAGCCTTGTTAGTTGCGCGGACATACGCCAGCTGATAAATATCAAGCGGATGAGGTATCAAAGCAGTGCCCATCCTTGACGACATATTGTGCGTCCAAATTACGAAGTGCATACACTCGATATACAAGTCGAAGTTATTTATGGAGTACTATCCAACTCTACCACGTCATTGCAGGCGTCCGAGGAGGTGGACCTTCGTGTCTGATGCCCTGTATCCTATCTTGTGTGAGTCCGACTTCGCCTCTGAGACTGATTCCGACTCTGAATCCGATTCCAGCTCTGAATCTGTGGGTTCTGCAATGTCCGTCGGGTTCCCAGGCTCACCGATAAACCGGAATCTGTCTCCATATTCCCTAACATACTCGCCGATAACCGCCTCCGCTTCCTCAAGAAGCTGCTCTCTGGTGTATCCTTGGGTGTTCGCCCCTCTAAGCTCCAGGAACTTGGTAGGCGTAGGACAACCGTGGATGGAATATTTAATACCATGGATCCAGACGTATCCTGGCATGCTGTGAGACTCCGGGCCAAGACAATAACTGATACGGCGGGCTCACTGGGCGGCCAAATATCCATGATACTTGCGATCTCATATACCTCTTCACACTGCACATCTGCCTCCAGTGGTGGATACGAATAGAGCGTGATACGCATCCTACGCATGCATCTGTGCTTGGTGGCATGGTCGAAATCAACGAGTCGCGCCTCGCGGCCGTCTGCGGAAATCAGGATATTGGACTCGCAAAGATCGTTGTGCTGAACGCCAGCGGCGTGAATGCGCAGGACAGCCTCCACGATTGCAATGCTGAGGAGACAGGGGGTTGACGAATGAACGGGGCCATGAAAAGGAGAATCCACGTACCGTAACTTCATGGGGCAGGCCTCGATATCCTGGAGTGGCGAGCCCCAGGGCTCCAGCAGAATGCACCTCACCGCACGATTCCGACCAGATGAATTGATGTAGGTCCCTGTGAAGAGACCGTAGAATTTGGGCACGGCTGAGTCTTGCAGGGGCTTCAGCTGGGTGGAGTAGAACCCAGCTTCGTCTTCGAGTCGATCAGAATCTTCATTAAAGGTCATCTTGCAAACAACATCGATTGGCTTGTCTGGCCCTCGCTGAAGCTCGCCTTGGTACACATAGGAATTTCCGTAGTGGATACGCTTGGCGGAGCAGAAGGTGAGCGCCACATACTGATGCAAGGCCCCGACGGTGAAGTCTGGCACCGACGCTAGGTTATAGCGTCCGTATCGCCCAAGGGAGAGCTCTAAGGTGGGCATGAATGTTGAACTTAAGGGGCGTGAATAACTCCCTGGCGTTAAATAACCGCAACCGCGCCACAAAGCCAGGCGCCTTTTGGCAATCCCCTATGGAGGGCCTACACGAAGACCTCAAAGGAAAGGAAATCTCATTTTTCTTCGACATCATCATTACAGGGATATCTACAACGTACTACAGACGATGTAAGCGACTTTGGGAACGAACTCCGGTCCTGGGCTTGAAGCTGGAGGCGGCAGGCCTGGCTTCCGACATCATAGGGACATCGCACACCCAGCCAACCGAAGGTTAGCGGCGCGCGGTGTGTTCCTTCTCATTTCTCCTTGCAATCCGCTTCTCTCTGCCTGTGCGTAAATCGGATTTCCTTCCCGCCAGTACGACGCCACGACTATTTTCTGGGTAAAAGGACAGGACAATGTCTAGTAAGGAAAAACGGACTGAAATTTACCTGGCCTTTCGGCGAAGGCCGAGCCGCCACGTGCTCAATTAGACGGACGCGTACCGGGCGCTTCGTCTCAGCCTTTACCAAGCCCACTCTCTGCTCCCGCCATCTCCATCTCCCTCACTTTCCGTTTCCCTTTTGCGAAGACATCATGCTCATCAAGGTCAAGGTACGAGCCCTGATCTACCCTTTGCCTTGCTCTCGAAGCGCTAACGAGAACTTGTGCAGACACTCACTGGCAAGGAGGTAAGTCCGCCGATCGCGGGCACATATCCCTGTGAACGTCGCAACAAGATGCTCACTACGTTCGCCCTGCGCAGATCGAGCTCGACATCGACCCTGATGACAAGGTGCGCACACCCTGCTGCCGTCCGCGGCGCCGCACCTCCCACCACTCACGCCCACCCGCCTCTCGCACAGATCACACGCATTAAGGAAAAGGTCGAGGAGCAGTCGGGTGTACCGCCACCACAGCAGCGTCTCATCTTCGGAGGCCGTCAGATGTGCGTCTCGCTCTCTTCTCATCGATTGTGCACGAACCTTATCGTACACGCGTGCAGGCCCGACGACAAAACCGCACGCGACTTCGGCATCACGGCCGGTGCGGTACTGCACTTGGTCCTTGCGCTCCGTGGAGGCTGCTAGAGCGTGCGCGTGTCGCACACAAATATCGGATATAGCCCCAATGCACATCTCCCTGACAACGTGATCTCCGAAGATACGAACCACGCTGTAGCCTCGATCGAACCCATCCGCCCTTTGTACGTTGTTAGAACCCTAGTTCTGCATGCTCTGTATATCACGCATCGTTTAATCGCTTCGCTATCCTTCACGGAGAGAAACTCAGATATTCGAAGTTTAAGCACTCATCCGACTCAGGTCCGTAGGTATCGACGGCCATCGCTGGCACTAGTAAGACGACACTGCGTCGGGAAGTCCGCCAACGACATCTGCGCCCGGCAGGAGCCAGCGGAAGGTGATGCTGACCCGCAGGAAGCGCATGACCCACCGCCCAGCGTCGCTGCCAGCGCGGTCCTGCACCCAGTCCTCCGTCCTGCCCTCGATGCCGTGCGTCCAACGGTAGCGAGCTTCCTCCGACATTACATACACGCCGCCGTGCGGGAGGAACACTGCGTGGCCCTCGTCTTCGTCTGTGTGCCCCGGGTCTCCCGGGTCTCCCGCCGCCAGCTTCGAGCCGGCGCGGGGGCACGGCGCGGAGGGGCACTGGGTGGAGGCATGCCCAAGCTCGGGGCGTGCGCGCCGGAAGCGCATGACGCAGCCGCTGCCGAGGCACACGCCGACGATGCCGTCGCCGAAGCGGTCGAGCAGGTCGACGTGCGGCGCGATGCCCTCGCCCGGGCGGTAGAGGTTGACGATGACCTGGCGCGCCTGCGGCGGGGCGTCCGGGGGCGGGAAGAGCAGCGCGTGCGTGTGCGGCGGCAGGGCGGGGCGGAGCACGTCGGCGAGCGTGGCGAGGAGGGACGTGAGGAAGGGCGGGAGGCCCGAGGGACCTGGTGCTGGGTTGGTGCGTGTGCGGCAGCGGTGAGCGGAGTGGTTGCGACGTACCTGGCGTGTCGGGCGCATGTGCCCCTTCGGAAACGACGCGCTCGAAGAGCATGGCCTGGTTCACGCGCGAGTCGCGGAAGTATGTCTCGAGGCACTGCTGGAAGAGCGTCTCTGCCAGATCATCCGGCAGCAACACAGAGGGATCGAAGTACAGGCCTGGTATCGATGGGCACATACGCAGGGCAAGCTTCATGTTGTGTGGTCGTGGTGGCTCGGTGTATGCGCTAGGCAACGTGTCGAGGCCATCGAGAATGTCCGTCGGCGAGGCATCCATTGGCTCGTCGAAGAGCGAGTCTACATCAGAGTGCGAGCCCGCGGAGCCTGTGGGGCTTGATTCTTGGCCATGGGTCTTGAATGCATGCTCGAGGCTCGCTTTGTCTGTGAGAAGCTTTAGCTTGACCATCGTTGGCCTGTGGAGATAGGGTGTTTTGCAGGAGGACGCTAACGGCAGCCGGCTGTTCTCTGCTGCTGTCACACGTGGCTAAGATCTGAGGCACCGAGTGCGGTGCTGATTCCCAGGGCGCACACGACACTGAGTCTGCGCAAGTGCCATATCCAGTGTGTACGCAGGTTCATGGAAAAAAATCGTGAGTGTGCTGTCCTGCTTGCACAGCGAGATCGGTCGCAAAGGGAGGTGGCCAGGTGAAACGAACCACCTCACCTTCTGTGTTTGGACTTCCTGTGCGAAGCGTACGATCACGAGCGTGACTGTGGGAAATACCTGCCTTGTTGAACGCCGCGCTCTCCCAGGCGACTTCACACTCACCAACGTCCTCACGGTTATTCACTCCCGCTCGACCTCACCATGGAAGATAGCTTGCCATCAGGGCGTCCTATTGTGGACAGAGAGAAGGTACACTGCCCCCTTACTTTAGCCATAACCCATCTCAATCTGCTGTGACGTCGGTCAGACCGCGCCGTTCCTCATACGAACGTTTATCAAAGTTGGGACATTCCACCGGCTGCAGCAGTTCGAAGACGCAGCTGCACCGACTGCAGATGAGCAGCAATTGTACACATGGTGCGTGTCTACTCCTTTTGCTTTCCTAGGCCCGTCTGATTGGTTGCAATCTCCTGACAGGAAAGACGCGACTCTCCGCGAAGTCCTGACCACCCTCCGCTCAATTGCGCCTGCCACTCCCGAATACCGCCATCCACTCGCCCGGTACACCTTCCGCGCGATCTACGCGGACAGCGCCTCGCGGGGGCGCATCGCCCAAAAGGACCTCGGCACCGTCTACTCGCGCGACATCCTCGGCGAGCCGGGGACGCTGCAGGCCCCGGCGCCGCGCCTGCTCGCGGACACGGACGCCCCGCCAGGCGACGAGGAGCGCACGCTCGACGAGCTGCGCTTCGTGCCCGGCGACTACATGTGCGTGATGGTGCAGCTCCCGAAGAACGTCAGCCTCGGCCCCGGCGAGCTCGCGATCAAGGGCAGCGGCGCCGCCGCGAGCGCGAGCGCAGGCGCGGGCACAGGGCCTGCGAACGGCTGGAAGAAGGACACGGGCAGGGGCGGCGACGCTGGATGGGGCGGGTCGCTCGGCACTGGGCCGGCACCCGGACGGGCGGGCGGACACTGGCGTGGAGACTCGGGGGTACCTGCACCTGTGCCTCGGGGTGCGCGCGGTAGAGGACGAGGAGAAGGAAGGGTGCCGCCGCCACGGCGTGACAGTCCGCCGAGGCGAGGTGGATGGGCAGACAGAGACAGGCGAGGGCGGTCGTCTTCTCGATCGAGAAGTCCAGACAGGCGAAGAAGCTCTCGTTACGACTGAGGTCGGTCTTGCTTGCTCATTGCGCTGCTGTAACGTGCTATTCTTGGTCTCGAGAGGCTTGTTGCAAATGTACCAAGTTTATAGCTCCGTCCTGGGAACTCTGTCACTGCGGATCGACGCCCGCCGGGGCTGAGGCGCCGCGTTAGTTATCGGTTGACATTCAGAGCATCTCAGCAAAATACTGAATGGTGCCACAATTGTCTGTTTCTCCTGCGTCGTCGGGAAGCCTGTTCAACGGATGCTATGGTTGCACATGGATGACAAGGCTTGTGTGCTGTACACTTCGGGTTCCGATGCCAGCTGCATTCTGCCTCTTTCGAGACGCATCCGCCTCCTCGCTGATTCTGGTACGTGCCTGCACCCACGGACCATGCGACTCTGCAGATCCTGTGTCTGATCTACTGTTCTCTTGCCAAGTTTAGGCGTGCTTCTATCTTTCCACCTTGTTTTGCTCTGAGCTTCTGCACGGCTCCGTTGGCCTGCATCGAGGTGTTCTGGACTGTGGACTGTGCATGCGTACTCTCGGCAGCGTGAGTGTCCGATGTCCTTTTTGTCGCTGTACTGCTCGCCTTCCACAAGAATCATTCTGACATGTGAACCCTTGGAAGAGAAGCCACCGTCCGCCTGTCTCGGCTCTAGTCCAGCTCGTGATAGGGGCTTTCGGAGTTTCAAATACCCTTTACAGGACTTTCAAACTCCGCTAATGAATCCTTACAGATGATTTGTTACTGTTCTCCCCTACTTGCTCGAACCGAGACTATCTCGGTTCCAGGATACACTGCATTGACAGCCAATACTATCTTTCTCCGTCGTGGTGCGATAGTTTGCGGCTATGCATCAGAGCTTCCCTCACAACCAGACGTATTTAAAGCCCAGGGATCTTAGGAGCCGTCAGCTCACGTCCTGCCCCACAAGCCCTCGGCAGCCCTGGCTCTGCGCCTCCGAGTCCTCCAACCCCTCCTTGTTGCAGGGACAACCCGCTGTCTTCAGTCGCCCACTCGTTCCCTCTATAGCTCGATGGGCTGCCTCCAGTCTAAGAACCAGGACCCCGCCACAGACGCGACACGCGCCAACGGGACAGAGAAGCGTTTGCAGCAGCTCAACCGCCCTGACGTCTATAAAGATTCTCGCCCGTCGTTTTACGCTGCGTACGCTCGTGCCGCTCGCCGCTACGGCTTCGAGACTGGGCAGTACGCAGGCTTTGCCAAGCGGAACAACGTTGTCGTCAAAGTCCGGGGTCTTGACGATAAAGAGACCGATCACGAGGTCCCCGCAGAGTCAATTCAGAACGGTACGTGAATTCTACGTGTCGCCGTCGCCCATTCCTGAATGGGGCGTTCGTTTGTGTTCCAGAGTGAGTGCTCCACTGAGCCCTGCGGGTGTGGCTGACAGGCGTGCCTGGTGCCATACTATAGTACGGAGTATGTCGTGTCAGTGAAGATTGGTACCCCAGGCGTCACGGCCGACCTCGACTTCGACACCGGCTCTTCCGACCTGTGGATTTGGTCTTCGGAGCTCGCAGACGCCAGCAAGTACTCGAAGACGCACAACATCTACGACCCTACCAAGTCCAGCACGGCGAAGCACGAGGCCGGCCTCACCTGGAACATCTCGTACGGCGACGGCTCGTCCGCGTCGGGCGACGTCTACACGGACGTCGTCGAGGTCGCGGGCGTCATCATTCCCGGCCAGGCGGTTGAGTGCGCGAAGAAGCTCAGCAGCAGCTTCCTCGCGGACGGCGGGAACGACGGCCTGCTGGGCCTCGCGTGGCCGAGCATCAACACCGTCTCGCCCCAGCCGGTCAAGACGCCGGTGGAGAACATGATTGAGCAGAAGCTGATCGAGCAGCCGCTCTTCACTGCCAAGCTGGGACACGACACCGAGCCTGGGTTCTACTCTTTTGGTAAGCTGTGCGGACGACTCTGAGCGAGCCCTGGCTCATGTTGTGCAGGCTACATCGACCCGACTGTGACGCCCAACCCGATATCGTACACACCAGTGGACAAGTAGGCCTGGGTCGCTTGCTGCTAATTTCTTGACGCTGATGCTGTTGCAGCTCGCAGGGCTTCTGGCAAGTTCCCTCGGGATCGTACACCCTGAACGGCAAGACGTACGAACGGTCCGGGAACACGACCATCCTCGACACCGGCACCACGCTGCTCCTCGTCGACGACACCGTTCTCAAGTCTATCTACGGTTCGCAATTTGCCCTTGTAACCTGTTCCGTATCGCCCTCCGCTGACGCTCTTGCAGACTCGATTGAAGGCGCGGTGTACGACGACCAGGCCGGCGGGTGGAAGTATCCCTCGAGTGCGACGGTACCAGACGTGTCCTTTGCCGTCGGCGACAACCTCTACACGCTAAACGCGGCCGACTTTGGGTTCAGCCCTGCAGACGAGGGGTTCACGCTCGGCGGCATCCAGAGTCGCGGCGACCTCACGTTCGACATCTTTGGCGACGTGTTCCTGAAGAGTGTGTATGCTGTCTGTGAGTAGCTTCCCGTTCTTTCGGAGTGCCATGGGGTTGACGGCGAGGTGTAGTCAACCAGGGCGAGAAGACTGTGGGGCTTGCGCAGAGAAGTGATTAAGCTGGGATTTCGCGGACGTGGGGATTTGTGGATGTTGGTATGCTGGACCTTGACGACATTACATTATTGGTTTTGCTGTACCTATACTTATTCATGGATATCGATTAGCAGATGTAAACTAAGCGTGAGCTGGCATCCTAGAAGTTGACTGTTCTATACAGACTTTTTTCTGGGCCTTGGTCTAGCTCACGGCCACGGCCTTCGCCAATTTTAGAGTGAGTGGAGGACGGAGAAAAGGAAGAGGAAATGCCCAAGTTCAATTTGACATACCAAGCGTCGTTAGTTTGGTGTTTCCGAGGCGGTCATCGCGTAGTAGAACTGTGTATATCATCTGGATCGCATAGTACTCACCATACGGCTAGTGACTAGGTACTTAACGGCATAGTGGATTGCAGACGAAACGCTGGGATTGTTAGCTTTGAGTTGACTGTCTCAAAGGCCGACATCACTGCGTATGCTATCGTGGTCCCACGCAAGCATGACGCCAGTGTCTAACATCTAACGCCTGCAATACAGACCGCGAATGAGCGACCAGGCCTGATGGCGTTCTGCAACGTGACTGACTGCTGGGAGTCGGACCTGGAAATTAAATCGGTCAGTTACGATCAAGTCTGACCCGGTCATTGACCAGACATTGACCGGAATGACCAGTAACAGACCAGTCGCTGGCCTGCACAGCACTGTCAAACACACATTTAACCATCCAAGGATATCCAGACCCCGCATGACATCAGGAAAACCTCCGGGTGTTGGAGGCGTCCTGGATTAGATGACATGCCTTAGTCCGCCTTAGGCGTTGCTGGGACATCATCAAGGCACCTAAGGCATGTCGGTCCGATTCCAAGACGCACTGCAAGCGACGTCAAGACGTTTGGACATTTTCCTGATGCATGCGCTGTGGCATTTCTAAATTACACTCACGGTGAGAACACCTCTCGTACAAGACGTGACGCGTGATGGGGACAACGCACACTCGGACGAACGACGAGGCACAGCAGGCTGTTTTCAAGTTCTGCGAAGGTAAGACCTTTCCCCGGCTCGTGACCAAGTGCCCGGTCTTCCAACCATATGCTGCCATTCTCATCATTGTCTAGTCGTGACAGTACAATCAACCCGTCCCCCTTCGGCGAGTCCGGACCTTCGATAGGCTCCACATGCTATGCAACAACTCGGTGGGGTCGTATACGGTATCGATTGCTTGCACGAGGTTGACAGCTGACAGCAGCTAACGCATGATGCTTTTTAGATGGCAACAAGTTGATTGACATAGCCTGCTGTTTGATGATCATGCGTCACAGTGTGGGCGATGCACTCGGGAGCCTTCCCAAGGCCTGGTATGCATAACCTCCGGACCCCTTCTATGCTGAATCGTGGAAATTTTAGCACATTACGCCACCCCAGTGACAGCGAGGCATTGCTCTTGCATTTGTTGCCAGTGTAATTTAACCCAGTACATTCTAAAGCCAGACTCTTTCTCAAGATGATAATCATTGTGATTGATCAGCATCAGGGTACCCCGTGGATGTATAAGACTGTGCGACATATTTGTACATTGCAACCATCCTTCTCTCCTGGAGGCCTTTTCTCTCCTGAGAATGGCCCAACTCCTGCCTACTGCTGCTATCCTCATCGGAACAGTGACAGGGACACTAATATTGTCGTGATACGACTACTGGGCTGCGCGAGCGCGAACTGGCGAGTGGCACGCGGGCACGATCTAATACACACGGTGTTAGTCTGAGTGCGAAGGGAAAGAGCACGCTGTATAGCTATGTACCTAATACACACGGTGTTAGCTAGACAGGGGTCCGGTAAGTATACTGCATAGTGCGCAAGGGCGACGAAGGAGACTTACTCTGAGTGCGAAGGGAAAGAGCACGCAGAGTGGGGATGCGAGAGGAGTCCTTATATACTAAAAGGAAGCAAAATTGAAAGTCCGCTAGAATGGGGAAGCCTGCCATAAAGAGGTCTGTGCGTGGGAGCACTACATATGATTGTCCAATCACTATCTACGTATTAGTAGCGCCTAATCTAAGATGTCCACCTTAAGTCCATGCCGGGCGGGACGCCGAGCCAGAGCCACTAGGCGCTTCAACACTCCCCCTTGGCGAGGCGATACGGAACGAGGCCAAGAGACTGGGTGTGACGGCTGTGTACCTCAGCCGGTAAAGGCTTTGTGAGAATATCAGCCGGATTGTCAACATCGGGAATCCTAACGAGTTCGATCAGACCTGCTTCGAATTGCTCGTGAACAGCGTGAGCTTTGACGCGGGTGTGTTTCGTGCGATGCTTGACGTTGGGTGACTGGGCAGCGTCAACGACAGATTTGTTGTCGCAGTGGAGAGGGACAGGCTTCGCGAGTGGGTGTTCGATATACTCAGCGAAGATTTCGAGCCACTGTAAATGTCGGACTGCTTCGTCGGCTGCGAAGTACTCTGCGTCGAAGGTGTCTCGAGCCACAGAGCGTTGCTTGCGAGAAGACCAACTGGTCGCGCCTCTACCGAGTTTGTAAACCCAGCCGGATGTTGAGACGGAGTTGTCTTTGTCGTTCGCGAAGTCTGCGTCGGTGTAACCGAGCAAACGGCTATCGGTCTCGTCGTGTTGACCTAGACAGAGTCGATAGTTGGAGGTGCCGCGGAGGTACTTGAGAACACGATAGGCGGCAGCTACGTGCTTCGGTGAAGGGTTTGCCTGGTATTGGCAAAGTCGGGCGACGGCGAAGCCGATGTCGGGGCGAGTCCCGAGCATGGCGTACATGAGTGAGCCGAGGAGTGAGCGGTAGAGCTTGATGCGGTCTTGTGGACAGTCCGCGGGGTCTTCCTCGTTCTTCTCGAGTACGATGTCAGTGCCGAGTGGTGTGGATGCGGGGTTGCAGTCTTCGTATCTGAATCGTTTGAGAACGGACTCGATGTACGTTTCCTGGTCGAGGTATGTAGCTCGACTCCCCTTATCCCTCGTGACACGAATGCCGAGGTAGTATTTTAGTTCGCCAAGGTCCTTGAGTTGGAACCTTTCCTTCAGTGCCTCTTTCGTTTGTTGGATGAGATCGAGGCTGTTTCCCATCATAGTTAGGTCGTCAACGTAAACCACTAAAATTTGAGTGGATCCCCCTCGTTGACGGCGAATGAAGATGGATACGTTGCCGGCGTCGTGGCATGCGAATCCAATGTCCTCGAGACAGGCTTTGAGCGTGAGGAACCATGTTCGTCCCGCTTGCTTTAACCCGTATATTGCTTTCCGCAGGCGGCATACTTTGCCTGCGTCCGTTACGAAACCTTCAGGTTGCTCCATGTATAGCTCCTCGTCGAGTTCTCCGTTCAGATATGCTCTATCAAAATCGATCTGATGGATTTCCCAGTCCTGGATAGTCGCTAGGGCGATGAGGTATCGCCAGGATTCCAGACGGGCGACGGGAGCGAAGGTGTCTTCGTAATCGATGCCTTGAACTTGCGTGAACCCCTTGGCTACGAGCCTTGCCTTGTAGCGATCCACTTCTCCGTTCTCGTTGCGCTTGACAACGTATACCCATTTGCACTTGATCGCCTTGCGACCCTTTGGTAGGTCGACAAGTTCCCAGGTGCCTTGTTCCAGGAGGCCGGTTACTTCGGCCTGCATGGCAGTCATCCACTCCGCTGAATCCGGTGCATCGGCTGCTTGTTTGTAGGTCCGCGGCTCTCCAGCGATGGAGGAGTCGCCTACGATCGCAGCGATGTCGCCCGGTTCCTTGCCTGTGTTCAGTGCTTCCTCGATGTCCGCTTCGGTCGCTCCGGGCCAAATACTCGTCCATTTCTGAGTTGCCTTACGCTCGCGGGTACCGCGGCGGATGCCTGACAATGTCGTGGCATGCTCAGGGTTGGTGAAGGGATTGTAGTCCCACGAGGTAGTGTTGGGATTTGGCTGGAGTGGCGGAGGGGCGACGACGCGAGATGGTGAGGCTTTGGCCTTGCCTTTGAATTCAGGCTTGACTGGTGCACTTGGCGGGATTGGTGGAGCTGGATACAACTCTGTTCGAGGTGTAAGGCGTGGTATTTGGGATGCTGTAGGCGGTTTTGGTGTAATGGGTTGAGTAGGAGGTGGTACAGGCTGTGGCGGCTGCGTAGGAGCCGGTGGCGTGTTAAGGGGTGGTAGTTCGAGTTCGACAGATGACGGCAGCGTGGATGTAGATCCGGTCGGTTGTGTCGAGGACGGTGAGGGTAGGAGTTTGTTGGGGAAGATCGACTCGTTGAATATCACATCAGTACTCGTGGTGATCTTTCTGCTACGTTTATCCCATAGACGATAACCTTTAGAATTTGTCTCGTAGCCGATAAACACTAGGCTCTCAGCGTTAGCGTCGAGTTTCTTGCGTTTATCCCCGGGTATATGGCGATAGGCCTGGCAACCGAAGACTCGGAAATGGGACACGTCCGGTGTGGTGCCAGTGAGTCGTTCCAGGGGTGTACGCCATGCAAGGGCTTTCTTAGGGCCTCTGTTGCGTACGTGCACAGCTGTGCGAACAGCTTCTTCCCAGAATCCGTGAGATAACCCGGCGGTTTGTAGCATTGACTTAGCGGCTTCTACGAGTGTGCGATTCATGCGCTCAGCTTTGCCGTTTTGCTGTGGGGTACCGGGTATCGTGCGCTCGTGGATGATTCCAGATTTCTTCAACAAGTTGATGAACTCGTTGGACTGGTATTCACCCCCTCGATCTGACCGAAAGACCTTGATGACCGTGTCGAACTGTCGCGCGACGAGGGCTACGAAGTCTTTGAACGCGGAGAGGAACTCATCCTTTGTTCGCAGATAGTAGACCCATGTGACGTCGGAGCAGTCGTCGATGAAGGTAGCGAAGTATCGGTGGCCTGTAAGGGACACCACCGACATAGGTCCGTCGAGGTCAGAGTGAATGAGGTCGAAGGGTTTGTTGGCGCGTGAGGTGGACGATGTGGGGAATGTACGCCTGTGTGCTTTGCCTAAGACGCAGCCTTCGCAGGGATGCGAAGGTTTATCCATATCGGCGGCGATGAGGCCTTTGACCGGAGAGGAATCAGCAGCGGCGAGCTTGCGTACTGCCTCCCAGTTCAGGTGGCCGAACCGATGGTGGATAACGTCAAGCGAAGTGGCGTTGTGCGTGGAGACCGCGACAGATGGTGGAGGTGGAGTAAGGTCCAACCAATACTGACCGCGGGACTTAGTGCCTATGCCAAACGTGGTGTTACCACGCTTGATTTGGGCTCGTCCTTTCCCAAAGACGAGATCGAAGCCTTTGTCTTCGATGCATGAGACGGAGATTAGCTGTCCGGACATTGCAGGACTGTAGAGAACGTTCTCTAGCCTGATGTTTACTGGTTTGTTATCGACGAGCGTGGTGCCCTCGACAACACCTGAACCGAGCGTGCTTACTTGCGTTTTCGCCTTGTCTGCTAGTGTTGCGTATGTAGGCGACGCGAATGCGGTGTACTCAGCGAAGTCGTTCAGGTCGTTCGTAATGTGTCGTGTACAGCCGGAGTCTAACATCCAGCGTTTCACACCGTGGAGATACCAGGAAGCAGAGTGAATTTTGGCCTCAGGAGCAGCAGCTCCTTCGGCGGTGACTACATGTACAGATGCGTGACCAGTACTACTACCGGACGGGTTACTTTTACCGTCCTGGGCTTTGCCATTGCTGCCCTTCCGTGCCTCTTCGGCGGTGGCCTTTTTCTTTCTGCAGTCCTGCTCGTAATGACCTTTGTAGTGGCAGAAGTTGCACTTGCCCTTCTTGCCGTCAGGTTTGCCAGCTTTGGCTTTGCCTGAGGTAGACGCCTTCGGTGCGTGGAAGGTGGCGACGTTGGTGGAGGAGCTGCGACGTTTCGCTTCGTCGAGGAGACGGTTGCGGATGTCGTCGAGCTTCAAGTCGGCGGGCTTGGTGACTGCGAGGATGGGCTCCACGACGTTGTTGAACGAGTCGGGGAGGGCCGTGAGCAGGCCGAATATCTGCAGGAGCTCCGGAGTTTGGAGGATTCCGGAGGCGCTGACCTCTTGCCAGAGTCGGGCTCGTTCGTCGAGTTGGGCAGCGAGGTCATCGCTGTCCGTGATCGCGTGCGAGAAGTACGCACGGAACTTGACGAATGCCGACATGGTGGTGGAGGCGGCGTAGTTGTCCTTCAGTTTCTTCCACAGCGCAGCGGCTGTGATGTCTACTGGGTTCGCGAGGTGCAGGAGCTCGTCGCCGAGCGTGCTGAGGATGTAGAACCTCGCGTATGTGTTCGTCGTCTCCCATGCTTCGATGTCCGCAGCGGAGACGGAGCTGCTTGGGACGGGGGCTCTCTCGGTACCGTCAACGACCTTCCATGCGCGTGCAGCAATGAAGTACTGCTGCATCATTAGGGACCAGCGTGAATAGTTGCTGGAACCTTTGAGCTTCCCGATCGCGTCGAGCTTCATCGACGGCGGACCGGTGGCTGATGCGAAAGCGGAGGCGGAGGACATGGTTGTTGTGCGGCGAGGTGCGGATGACGCGGATTGAGAGGGTGTAGTAGGAGCGGCGGGAGTGCGACGTGTAGGATGGGGTGCCGGTGCAGGTGCAGGTGTCAGTGCAGTTGGTGAAGGTGGGCGTGATGCAGATGGACTAGACATGCACTAGAGGATCTCTAGTGTCCGTGTTGCGATGTGGAGTAACACTTGGGGTGAAGACCCTGAGGTGTTATGGAGCTAATGTGTGGCTGGTGCCGGATCTCTCCGAGTGAAGACTCGTGAGGGATGGAGGGTAGATGGGGCCAGTTACAAGCCGGGGCTCATAACCTATTGTCGTGATACGACTACTGGGCTGCGCGAGCGCGAACTGGCGAGTGGCACGCGGGCACGATCTAATACACACGGTGTTAGTCTGAGTGCGAAGGGAAAGAGCACGCTGTATAGCTATGTACCTAATACACACGGTGTTAGCTAGACAGGGGTCCGGTAAGTATACTGCATAGTGCGCAAGGGCGACGAAGGAGACTTACTCTGAGTGCGAAGGGAAAGAGCACGCAGAGTGGGGATGCGAGAGGAGTCCTTATATACTAAAAGGAAGCAAAATTGAAAGTCCGCTAGAATGGGGAAGCCTGCCATAAAGAGGTCTGTGCGTGGGAGCACTACATATGATTGTCCAATCACTATCTACGTATTAGTAGCGCCTAATCTAAGATGTCCACCTTAAGTCCATGCCGGGCGGGACGCCGAGCCAGAGCCACTAGGCGCTTCAACAACTAATGCACGGTGTGTCACATCAGGAAACACCCTAAGCGCCGTACATTGTGACCTTGATCATAAGTGGACGTAGCGTTCGTACTTGTAACACTGAGTGTTGTCACCTTCCGTACTATTGTGTACTTCCTGTATCTTCAACTTGCTACAACACGCTGTGAATATATCAGGGATCAGAGATATTATACAGGTATTGGGCGATCACAGGGATGGAATCCATGGCGCTTATGTACCAGTATGCCTACTTGTGCATGTCGCGCACTGCCCGTTCAAGCTGTTCGTAGGCTTTCGTCTATTCAGGATATTTTTGCGTTCACAACTTGAACAAGTGACCATTATGGACAACGGCACTGATATTCTCTTTATTAACTATTCCTTGTACAGCTGCGCCTTCCTCGCCAGCCACCGGTCCAAGAGTAGTCGAAATAAAACAAAGTCCGAGTGCCGCAGATATGGGTTTACATAAAATCGAGGACAGAGCTCAAGAATATTGACAGGAGACCATGTGAGATCAACCCGCTTACCAAAGATGGGGAGAAGGTGGCATGTGCGGATAATCTGGTCGACAGATATGACGGAAGTACGCCGCTTCTGAGACACCGTGGAGCGGGCAACGGAATACATCCCTAGCTTCAAATCACGGACCTGAAGCGGTGTGAACCATTCAACATATGCAAGAGGATGCATTGCTAGCTTCTGGTAACACTCCAGAGGTCTGAAGATCACTCGAACTTGTGCGACACAGAGATCTGGCAGTAAATGGGTTATCAGAGAGATTCAATTAGACAAAAGCATAGCATACGCACCTGCAATCGGGTTCTCAATATGGTACACACTGTCACGCGTTGAGCCACGCTGCTTTTTATCAACCACAAGGACAGTCGCGAAATGGGCAGGTGATCCAGGATGAAG